CTGCTGCGGCCGCCAGCGGAGGAGCCGGGGGGACCTGTCTCACCTTAAGACCGACTTATCAGCAGAAAGAGTTATTGTGTAAACATTAAATAATCGATTTAAACATTAGCAATAAAGTAGTTCTTATGACAAAGCAGCACCAGAGCAGGGTACATGCTTATCTGCCATAGGTACAAGCCTGTAGTCCATAGGTCCACCATGTGCTTTAGCATGTGACACACAGGGATCACCAGTTGCCATGGCGGATGACACTGCCAGCAGCTAGTTCACAATCAAATGTGCTTCCATTCCCAGAAGGTTCTTTTTCGCCATGTAAAATTTCATGGCCCTACAGAAAGCAGAAGGGGTTCAGTTCTTTTTATGCCCTGTTCCCCAGGACAGCTTTGTGTCACTGTAGCTTTACTGTATGTCAAGAGCTCTTTGAAACAGTCTGAAAATTCAAGGAGCTATAAAGCTAAAAACACATTTATTTATTTATTTATTTATTTTGTCATACTAAGACTATCTGCAGAATAATCTCACAAAAAAATGGTGGTTTCAAATATAAGTGTAGTCATTCAGTCCTATTCTACTTAGTAACAGTAAGTTTCCTCAGGAAAACAGTCAAATGGCTGTAAAAACCAAACCACCACTCTAGTAATAAGAATTTGTGCATAGAATCTACTACAGACTTTGCATGACTGGATGCCACTAATATGCCATCAACATACTACAGCCATAATGCTACAAGTCAACAGTTTTAAGGGTACGTCTATGGTGGTATGTTCTTTTAGATTGTATCCTCATTGCTTCTTCAAAGACATCTGCAGATCATCGAACCTCAGGCCTCCAGAGAAGTTTTGAGACACACGGGCATACACACACACACACACTTCTTGATTTTCTTCTAGATCCTTTTAGGCTGAAGCATTCCATACATTTTAGGGTGCAGATTAATACCCAACTCCTGCATGAATTTTAAAAGCCACATCAGCTCCTAATATAGGCTGCATACAATATCCGAAACAAAGTAGGAGTGCAAAAAAAGTGATCAATACAAAAAGTAAACACACTAGTCTTAATTGTCAAGATTATTCCAGGGCAAGAGTTCTTTTCAAAGGTTTCTCTTCACACTTGTTCCTGTTAAGTGGCCCAGCCAAGACAGTTTCCAGTTTTGTTCCAAATTTACTCATGGTTTTACATACCCTCCCCCCATTTTGGGATGCCAGGACACTCAGCAGCAATCACTCTTAGGTGTTAGACAAACCAGCAATCTTGGTCTGTTGGCACCTGTCGAATCCATCCCTTTCAGAGTCCCAAGGTGCATAATATTTTTATTTATTTTTACCAACTTACAAATCTGCCAATTCCCCGATGTCAACATTCTGTTACAATTACTCTTCTAGCAAATCCAGTCTTCAGTGAGAGTCAGATTTGGGGTCATAAGGCCACACGGATGCAGTGGTGTTTTAGTTTACAGGGCAAGACTCCTTTGTTCAGTTGATAGAATTCAACAAGCTGGATTAGATCACTGAATTTGGTGTTCCCATCATCCAGGCTGAAAAATATCTGTCCATCATCTTCACACTGGGGAAACAAAACATCCTTTTCAAGTTGGACTGCACATGAAGAGATGCAAGTGGGGGAAAACATCACATCTCATGAATCACCATGATCAAACATATTTCATTATATTAAAAGAAAAATACCCCCAAAATATTTGACAGCAGGTGAAGCAAGGGAAGAGAGTTTGGACCAATGAGGACATCTACATGATCCTGAACTTCTGAAGCTCTTTTTGATTAAGACAAAAATCAAGTAGGTTCTCGACATCTCAGTGTAATATTATTTTAAGCTCAACATTACTGGATAACTTCCAGAATAAAGTTTTTTAAAGTTTCCCCAAGTTATTCTACATTTGCCTAAGTGATAGGGAGACAACTGCTGCCGTTGTTGCTGTCACGCACAGAGAATAAGTTCTGTGCATTACTTCTATGCCCAAGTGACTTATGCTATTTTTTCAGGCAATGTTAACAAAGAATTTTAATCAGACATTTGACAATTCTAAAGAATACTTGCTAATATACTTGCTAATGGAAATATCCCTGTTCATTGCATCAGTAATTAAAAAGCAGTCTCTTTAGATGTTTGCAAAGCGTTACGATTTAATTTTTCTCTCTTTTTTTTTTTTTTAAATCAGTATCAAAAATAATTTACTTACTGGTAAGATTTGAAAATGCTTTATTTTTTGATGATGGCATAGCGTAAGTACAAATGCCTTTGGATTGCTTTGGCTGTCCCGGAGAAGAAATAGTCTAGAAGAGAACATTTTTAAGTACATACTGAATACCAAAATCCATTTCTTCACAAATAATCAGAACTACTAAGTCATTTTGTGCTGTTGCCTAACTCTTCTTCAGTTGCATTAACAGGCAATTCCATAATTGGCAATTTGTTTTCAGTGCTTATACCATGGCTATGCTTCTTGAACAAGAAGTGAAAGACAGGTGACAGTTCTTCCCCATGAATGTACCCATGAAGCTCTTTTAATCGTCTCTCTCACTGAGCTTTCCAATACTGATACGTGCTCTCATGAAGAAAATGTTCTCATTTAACTCCAAAGCAAATCTGGCTTTCTGTAGATGGGAAAGTAATACATGAGAATCTGTTCCCTCTACAGTATCTCACATCAGTTTAGAAAAATCCAGCGCTAGCAAAATTACATTTCGGTGAAATTGCTGCAATTGCACAGAAACAGCTCAATACTTTAGAATGACTTATCAGTTAAGTAGCATCCACATTATCAAGATGGGGAAAACGCAGAGTATTTATCCTCTAAAACAGTCACGGTATTTTTCCCTCAGCATCACTAGAAACAAATATACTTTAGGAGTGTAGCTAGCAATCTCATACACTATGTAACTGTCACTTCTAAGTTAACCCACAAAATTGAAAACCTAACTCAAATGGCTTAAATACATACTTAGGAGAAAAAAAAAATACAGTGAAAAAATGTTTCCTTCCCTTGACATTTATGAATTAAGGATGGAGAACCTCTCCATACCACAGGAAACAAGAATATACCTTTGGCATACAGTGCTAATCACTAGTGGATTTGTGAGATGGCCAAGCACAGTGCCAAGGCAGGCCTCAAAAGCCCTCCCAATTGCTAACCACTTGACCAGGAACACACTTCCAAGGCTGAGTTGCAAGAACCACTCATAGCTTTATGAACCAAAAAAAACCTTACTCCAGCTCCTCAGAACTGACTGAGAAGTGTCAATACCACAGAAATGCACCACCATAGCCAGGGTCAGTCCAATACTCAGGGAGAGGCACGTCTTGCCACCACCGGAAACCATGCATGGTATTTGAACATTCCTTTTTAGTCCTAGCAAGACTGCATGTGTGGAAAACAGACCAAAGACTTTACACATTAGGATCCATCTCAGGGAGACAGATCTTAACTGCCCTGTGGTTACTGCAGTTCCTGCAGTTATCTAAATTATCTTTCACCTACCCATTTCGGATAATGCATAAACTGGTCATAAAGTTCAGATTCAAGTAAGTCATAAACTGGTGGCACAAAGCAAAGCTCAGCACAACTGATCCTGCAAGTGTTTACTCAGCCTCTGGCAAGCAACAGGCTGATCACAAACAATGACTATAAAGATAGATGCATCCTCAACAATAGCTTTCAGAAGCAGCCAAATGACAGTGGTTAACAGCTGCATGTATACATTGCTGAACACCTTACATGAGCCATCAGAAGACTGTTAACTTTCTACCGTCTTTTGTTCAAGAACACACAGAGCAGGAGAACACAGGCAAGACCTTTCTGTCCTGAAAACCACCATCCTTAGACCTCAGAGCATAAAGTAACTCGGTTCTTTAGCCACTGCTGACTGACTTCACTACAGTCAAAGTAGCCAACCTTCACCTTCCACAGTGAAGGAAGCTGGCTAGGCACAAATATAACATCTGAAAACCCCCAGAAGGACTGGCCACTAGATTCCTAAGGCAACAAGTCAAAGTGACCCCAAGATTATGAAGATCTGTAGTGTGGAAGAACCAGAAACTCAACAAAGTCAGCAGTGCTCCTTTGCTTTCTCAGCATCTCTTCTCTGACCTGCTACATTAAAATCCAATAGCCTGAGCCCAGCAAAAAGCCCAACACAATAAAAAAGCACTGCTTGATGAATATGTACATGCACTAGCAATTTCTATTTATCTGATGTATTTCTTTATTCACAACAATTAGTGATGCTCCTGAATCAGAAAATGCCGAATGAAGGTTTGAACTTGACTGTCTCCTGAGAAGCCAATATAAAAATTACTACCTTAACCCTGACAGGAGTAAGGGTAGTGAACTGCAGGCAACCATTCTTTTCCCATCCTACAAATAAAGAACTGCTGAATGCAGTTTAGGAAAATTCCCTTCAAGAACCATAACTACATGTAAATAAGGGAAACAGCGATGCTCAGAAGATACTTAAATCTCAACTACAGACATTTTAGACAGTGCTGCAACACACACTTCCATGTCTTTGCTCTACAGTAGGAATAAATAGTGAGAAATAATCATTAACTGCTCTGATTCATGCAGAAGATCACAAATGTCTGATTATAAATTTGTGGGCAAGTGACTAGGTACAAATTTGCCTGAAAAATATGTGCAAAATTAGTTTCAAATTCTAACATTCTCTAAAATTTGATTGCCTCTGTTGGAAAAAAAGAAAAATTTGTAAGTGTATTCTTAGTATTTTATTTTTCAAATTAAGAGTTAGAACCCACTCCGACAAACACGTGCTCTTGACTTTTTGAAATCCAGGCAGGTTATAATGGGGCTACTCAAGAAGCAAGTTACTGAGAAGTGCTCAGAAACCTGTAAACCCTTATAGCAGAAGTTGTGCTCTTGTCTAGAATGCTTGCCATCAAATCATAAATACTAAGCAACAGGGATACCTACCCATCTACAAGCCCTTGTTGCTTAATAATCCTGTGAGATTCTTCTCTAGAGATTCTGCCGTGAAACCAGTGCTGTGTCCTATGAATAACTGGAGGTGAGAGGGAAAAG